CTATAAATTTCCATTATTAAACTCGTATGTAGATTTAAATGCAAATTTGATAAATGATTTTGATCTTTTATTGGATAAATTGAATAACTTTACTCTATCTATCGATAAACATTATAAGCAATATTTTACACTACGAATTTACTTTATTGATAACTACAACTTTGCAATGATTTGCTAATCTATTCTTTTAACTTATTATCTCATAAAATTAACTAAGCGAAAACAATGTTTCTAGATGATACTATTTCAAATAAAGAAAATCATGGTCAAGAATTTTTGATACTGATATAGAAGTGTTGAATAATTTACAATACTACTGCAATTACAAAATCTATCTTTCAATATAACATATATACTCCAGAAACAAAAATCAATATTCTCTTCATCCTAATAAACATTAGCGACATCTATCACTGTTGAGACAGCCTTTTTTAGCAATATAACTTCTGATCAGAATAATACTATTTTATTCCATTAAATCTATAACAATGACAATCTATCACTAACACAAGAATCAAAATCTACTTTAGTATTGAGAATTTTCTACTCAATAACTATGGAAGAGAATTTCCTTTATATTCTTTTTTGTTCTACTTTCATTTTTAAAATTTAACAAGATAATCAATATTGTATTTTCTAACAAATTATTAGTTCGTCTATTTCGTCAACATGTTGTTCTTGATACATTGCTACGAAAGAATTTTTTTCTCCTCATTCTTTCTCTTTTGAATTCATCGAAGTAAAAGTGTGCAATTTTTGTGTCAATGGAATGAATATCATATAATTTATCATTTTTGAAAGAGCAATTCTTTTTTTTTTTGATTTTTAACACATAAGTACATCGTTACAAATATAAGTGTTCATGTCTCTTAATATCATATACTTATTTCTTGATTGTTTAAAATTGTATGAAATCCAATAAATAACAACGAGCTAAACAAGAGCAATGAATTTCTTCAATGTCTTGATCAGTATACTTTATAATAACCGAAGTTATTTGCTTTTCAATTACAACTATTGTATTCAGTCAATTTTCTCGAACATACAACTGTTCACGAAGCATTATTTAAATTTACTAAGATTTATTTTTATAGCTAAAGGAGGTCAATTATAGAGAAAGTTATAGATAAAGCACAAGACTTCATATTTCCAATTGATACAAATTTATCGCTAAGTTTTTGTCGTTCAAGCAACATCTGATTTAATTTTAATACAACAATTTCAAATTTATGGTCATTGATGGAGAAAACAATTTTCTTTTGTATTGAATCGCTGAAAGTTATGGATCATCAATCAAGAAACATTTTTTGTGACGAACGCACACAACATTTTCAAGCTCAGACATGATGAAATTTTATTTACTGATAAAAGTTGTTTTACTATACATTTCACATAGTTTGTTCTTATGAGGAATATTTTTTTCTCTTGCTGTACTTATTAAAAACAGAGTTCCTAGTAAGAACAAATCCGATTATTTGTAATATATCACCAATTACTTTTTCATTCTTTGAGAGAATTGAATGTTTTTTGCACTATTCGTAGTAGCAAACATTTCTCTACTTAGCAACATAAAACACCTATATATTTATTTTAAATTTCTTGATGAAAAATAAAATTCATCACACTTCTCAACAGCTGTTCTTATTACGAACCTTGACAGTATATTTTGAAAAATGAAGCATTTTTCTAAAAAAAAGTCTCCTTGAGTGTTTCAAGTTTTCTCTTGACTTAAAAACTTTTTCAAAAACTAAAGATCAGTTTATCGTAAACATTTGCTCGGGCTTGATTGAAACATATATGAAAACCACGAAAAACGAATAATCTGCAATTTCGAATTGCGTATCTGTTACATCAAAAAAAAAACAAGTAATACGCAAATCAGAAAAGCGATTTAGTATGCTCGTGGTTTTTCTTCGAAGGCCAAAAAAGGTAATTTTCTTTTAAAACCACCTCAAGTCGAATAATTACCTCACATGACAAAAATTTGCCCTAAAAACGCATTTGTACATGTAATTACATTTTTTATCTCTAGTTTAAGGTCCAATGTGTCATTTGTTTGTTTTTTTATCGACACATTGAAAAATATAATGATATGCTAGTAATTGCTTTTGACATAGTTTATCATATAAGTTGATTAGAAAAAACCGACAACGTGTTGACATCAAGGATATTGTCTTCTACAATCGAAGTAGAAAACGAATCGAACTATCCGTTCAGCATGGATCATCGTACCGTTTGCTACTACCAACGAGTAGTTCATGACATTTGAGTTTTTACCAACAAATACTATGAGTCGAAACATTCACAAAATATGCACGACAATTGGTAAAAAATATTCTTTTAGCTAATATATGTGCTTTATTCGTGATCATCGCCACATAAATGATATAAATGAACGCATGAATGGTTATACATGCGGTAAAGTGATGATTGTTATGTATATATTTCATTTTATTTTTGATACTATCTAATCCAATTAGATGAATCGAAGGTTTTCGTCCATTCTTCTAGCTTATTTTTTTGTCAAATAGACAACGTTTATACATTGAAAGAATCAGGCTTTCGATCTTGCCCTATAAAACACCATCATTGTATATTTTTAGACTTGCTTACTTTTATTCAATATTTGCTCGGGCAAGCGAACACTTAGTTTTTTTTAATTTGCATCTTAGTATTTCAAAGTATCGGGATTCAGAATGTCTAACACAGTTACCACAACTAGTACAACTACTACCACTGAAACTACTACTGCCGTTCCTAATCCACTCAATACTGGAGATAATGCTTGGATGATGACATCAACAGCATTAGTTTTAATGATGACTCCAGCTTTAGCAATTTTCTATGCTGGTTTAGTTCATAGAAAAAATGTCTTAAATCAATTATTTTTAGCATTTGTTTGTATGGGAGTTATTTTTGTTCAATGGGTATTATTTGGTTTTTCATTTGCATTCGGTGATCCAATTAGTGTTGGATTTGGATCATTTGATGACGCGGCATTACGTTTTAATGGTGATCGATTTGATCCATTTTATTGTGCAACTTTTCCATTATTAACTTATGCTGCATATCAAGGTACATTTGCTATCGTTACATGTGCAATAATATCTGGTAAGTCAAAACCTTTTTTCTGTATTCTTTTTTAGTCAATAAATATGAAAATAATTATTACGATCAATTGTCGGTAGAATTCGGTTGATTCCTTATATAATATTTATATTCGTTTGGAGTACAGTATGTTATGATCCAATGGCTCATTGGGTTTGGGGTTCGAATGGTTGGTTAAGAACTTATGGAGCATTAGATTTTGCTGGTGGAACTGTTGTTCATATTCTATCAGGAGTTTCGGGTATTACTGCTGCAGTTATTATTGGAAAACGACATGATTATGAATATCGCCCAAATACTGCTCATAACCTTCCATTAACAGTATTAGGCAGTGGTCTTTTGTGGGTAGGTTGGCTTGGTTTCAATGCTGGTTCAGCTGCTACAGCCAAGTAATTCAAGTTTATGTGAAACCATCTAGTCCTAATAATTCTTTTGTTGTTTTCTTGTTTAGTGGTATAGCATCACTTGCTTTAGTAAATACAAATGCAGCTGCAGCTGCTGGCTTGTTAACATGGATCTTTTTAGATCTTATTCGTGGTCGAGTATCTATATCAGGCGCTTGTTGTGGTCCCTTAATTGGTTTGGTCGCAGTAACACCAGCATCTGGTTTTATTCAGCCTGGTTGGGCTCTTCTTTTTGGAATAATACCAACACTTCTTATTTATATTGCTATTCTCTATAAACATAACATTGGAATAGATGACACACTTGATGTTGGTATTATGCATGGTGGAGGTAAACTCTTTAGATATGCTAAGATTTTGTTTTTTAATTCTGACTCTTTAGGTGGTATCATAGGTGCATTCATGACAGGATTATTTAGTCAACGATCATTTAATTCAATAAATGGTGCTGATGGTGCTTTCTATGGTAATCCAATTCAAATGTGGTATCAACTTGCTGGAATTCTTACTGCAATTGGTTTGTTTTCATTTATATTTGTTTTCTTTTTCTTAGTAAAGATTTATATATTTTCTTGTTAGGTTTTAGTTGTGCATGTACAATAGGGATTCTATTACCTTTAAAATGGACAATTGGTATTCGTATTTCAGTTCAAGATGAGATAGTTGGTCTTGACTGGGCAGGTAAGAATTAAATCTACCGGTGTTTTTGTTAAAAGAAATATTGTTATAAATTGAAGTTCATGGTGAAAGATGGGAAGTCGTGGGAACTGAAAATAAAACAACTAAAACGACTCCAACGAGAATAAAACTTCCTGATGATAGTATTCCAAGACGACGTCAAAGAACTTTAGCTGGTAGTCGATCTCGATCACGAGCAATAAGACGTCGAAATCAACCTGGTTTATCAGCAGCTACAGTTGGTCGTTCTTGGAAACCTGCCTATACTTTGCCAGTTTAACTCTATTGATTATATTTTTTGAACCAAAGAAGACTTTTTTTTTCTTTTTATTTTTGACGTATATTATTCTTTAAAATCTGTTTCTCAATACATGATTACTAGTTAGTAGTCTTTCCATTTAATTATTGTTTTGAAATCATGTAATAAATGTTGATTATTTCGTTTTATCATCTTCTTCCAAATTTGTAAAATAAAATTGAAATATCAATATAAAAGAAGAAGAACAATCATCAATAGATAAATAAATAAACGATTTTGTTGATTTCTATCCATCAAAATAATTGTATCTGTGCAATAGGAGACTTCTTAAGGACTAATATGATGAAATATTCAACGGTTAAAAATGTATGAACAATTACATAAAAAATAATCACACATGTTATGAATCTCGGTAGAATGTCTTAATTTTGTTGCATAAAATGAAGATCTATAATAATTAGTTTAGACGTAAGTATGAATTACAGTAGTTTGCAGAAAAAAACTACTAAATATGTTTCAATATTAGTCTGACAAAATGCACTTGTGTTCCTTAGTTCCATTGATAGTTAGGTAGGCCACAAAGAACATGAGATATTCTGATATCCTTTCCATTAACATTTCAAACAAATGAAAGACAAAAGAGGGTCTGGATGAGAATGTGGATAAATGTGAGAGAAGAAAACTACTTCAATAATCTATAGCTACATCTACATCTACATCTAAAATAAAAACAAACTTTGTGAATGAAACTATATTGTTGCACACAGAGCAAATTTACAGAACTAATGTCAAATTGTTTTAAAATGCCAACTACCGTTTTTTGAATAACTTCGACTCATTTATAGCGATTGATATCAGATTTTTGCTATCAGATAGAGTTATGTTGGGAGCGTCTACTGTCTGTGTGACATTCATCAAGTTCAAAAAAGCTTTCCACAGATATGTGCAGTTGAACAGTTTTTTTGTTGTCCTTATCCATAGCTTTTCACAACAACCTATGCGCGAATTACACCAAAATGTAGCTTGAAGAGTGCTGTGTTGTCTGCACAAGTGTTCGGCATTTTCATCCTCTTCTTGGATCCATGCTTCAGAAGAAGTGTTCTGAAATCTGGAAATTTTAAGTGTGATACGCCTCTCTTTGAACTACATTTCGATGTAATGTGAGCGTAGGTTGCTATCAAAGCCTATATAAATGGACCACAAAAATATGTTGAGCTGAAAATAACCTTGCCTTCACTAGTCATAAACGGTTGGAAGTTATTTAAAAAATGGTAGTTGACATGTTAAAAAATAACCAACATTAGTAAATGTAAAAGTCAACGAATGTATAATTCCGAATTTGCATACAATGAACACTGGTTTTTGCATAGAAATAAATATTGTCGTGTCGAAATCTTTGTAGCTCTATATTTTAGTCATGAGTCACGAACTTCAACATTGAAACTGACTGGTTTTGAAAACTTGCTCGGAGTACATAAATATAGTATCATCTATAAAGGTTTTTTCTATTGATTTCTTATTATTCTCTTAGATGACTATTAAAAATGATTTATGAAACGCTTGATGTGTCTTTTTCTTGCTTGACAATAGGTAAATTTTCTCTAGCAAGACAAAAAATATGATTTAGCAGTACAATTTTTTTTCACGTTATCCTTATGAAAAAAACACTAAATAAGCTTCTACTAATAAAAAAATCAGCTTATTCCAGAGAACCAAACTGAAGATATTTCAATTTTTTATCATAGTGCTTTTCGTCTCTCAGTCTTTAGAATAAAAATACAGTTAAATCTTTCATAAAGGACACGTTGTGGTACATTGAAGAGATTTTTGCTAGAATTGAATCTCTGGTAGAATCCTGCGAGAACAACTTTTCTTGATTTCCATTTCCCATTCCCATTCCGGAGAAAAAAAAAGTTCTTCCCATTCCCGCATTCCCATTCCCGAAAAAAATATTTTTTTCCCATTCCCACGTTCCCATTCTCGTAAGGTTTTCTGAATCCCTATTCATCTATGAGAAAAAGTGTCATTGCCTTGGTCATTGCCATATGCCGGCTTCTAGCAACATTATGTTTTGCGCAACGCGACGTGTTATTAAATAAACTGAAAATACAATTAATGGGTGGCTCATGAAGAATGATCTTTTTGGTATTTTTGCAATAGTGTCATCATTTTTCATCTGTTTGACCTAAATTTTTTTACAAGATTCGTCTTTCGATTTTCTAAGAACCTATCTAATTTTATTAACGTCAATAAATAGAGCCATCTTTTGCCAAACGAAAAAATTGTCATTGCACCATTGTCGTGTTAATTTATGACTATGTGTCTTCGCACTGTCTTATTGATATATCTAATTGTGTCCACATACTTTATTGCTGTATTTCAAGAACGTTCGAAGTACTTCTTTAATAGAAGAAACATGATCTATCGTTTTTTCATCGAAAATAACTAGTGGTCTAACATCTTTTAAACACATTCCTAATCAAACCATGACTTTTGGAAAAATTTTCGGTCGTGCAACTCGAAGAATATGATGATTCGATAGAGCCAGCCTGATTTATCATACAATATCATTGTTTTACGGTTTTAAAGCTAATTAAGCCGTTAAAATTTCGAAAATTTTTTGTTGTATCGAGAGCGTTTTGGTATTTTGAAAGTACAATGTTTCTGATGTCTTTACTTGTCATTCTCTAAAAGCGCATTGAAATTTCATGTGAGGAAATGAATTGAACATTTTTTGTAGAGAATTGAAAGACGAATCTTTTCAAAAAAGTTAGGTCAAACAGATGAAAAATGGTGATGCTATTGAAAAAATGTCGAAACAGTCATTCTTTATGGATCACCCGTTAGTTATTGAAAATAAACAGATGTTACATAGAAATGTTTTCATGTATATTAAAATAAAATAGAACGATTTTCGGGAACGTCAATTCTTAACATCGTTCCCATTCCCGTGGGAATGGGAACGGGAAAATTTCGGGAAAAAACCGTTCCCGCAGGACACTAATCTCTGGATAGTGGCCATCTCTCTATGATGCACACAATTAAAAAGTTCGAAAAGTGTTCACTATGTATAGTTTATACTGTATTAACATCTACTTCTCTGTTCTTTTTTTCAGCTCTCTTCACTACGTAATTATTGATATGATGTCAACAGTTTTATAGGCCACCCAGTGACATATCAATGCATTTTAAATTTAAACATTTCTGATACCAGTCAAATTTTCAAATGCAACATATATTTGTTTCTTATTTCAATACTAGTTCAGTTTTAAAAGATATCGAAACTAACGTGATTTTTTAATATGATCGATAAGTTTCAAAAAGTTTCTTGAATTGCACCATCGATATATTCGATTGATTGTATAAAAAGTAGATATAAATAGTTCTCATTTCTTGATTTTTCTGTGCTAAACCTGTATATACAGTAAAATTGAAATATCGCTCTGCGAGCAGGACAAGAGTAGTGTATGTTTTAAATTTGTTACTTTGGCGTTAAAAGCTTTAGTTTGGCTCGATTACATCTAATCGTATTAACTTACCATATAAACATCGCGATTATTAAAGCAAATAAAAAGTGGTGTTTTTTGTATAGAAAACTTTGCAGAATAGAGTCCATCAACTTTTTTGGCTTCAGTAATTATATGAACTAGTAGTCACGCTTACTCGAGCACAATCAATCTTGTCATAACATTTTTGTGAAACAATTTTTGAATCACTTCTGTTTAGAAAACCTATTTATTTAGCTACAGAACTGAATGTAGTGATTTGGAAATCGAGATGGAGGCATTTGATTGATGAAGTTCATTTATTAGAGATAGAGAAAGCACTCTGACAAGTATCTAGTATTTTGTGTGTAGTAGGACATGGTGGCTATAAAATAATTATGATATCTTTTAATACGAAATAGTCAAAACAAATACTTTTATGAATACATGGTTAAACGTTATTACAATGTTTTTCTATATGTTGAATGTTAGCCGAACACGTATGTTTTTCATTCGATTAATAAGTAGTTTGAAGGAATTATTAACAGAACATTGTTGACAAAAACTCTTCTTCTTTTCAGACCTTAATCTTTCTTTTAAACAGTATTTGGCTGATTTTTTTAAGAAATGAAACATCGTTTTGAGGTGAATTCACCGTAGCTATTGAAGATTCTGTTTTTACTTCTTTTAATTCAAAGAATTCAAACGGGTTTGTAGGCCATATTTATAGATTGTCATTCAATATCACCTCATGTATTCACTATATTTTTTTTAGCCAGCTATGTTCAATAAAATTTAATTGATCGAAATAGTTCCTAGTCGTTGATTTGGTGCTGTCACTAACATAAATGATTTTCTAATCAAAGATAACTCGAAAAATACATGTAATAAATATGTTCAAACAAGTTTATTGTACATGGATAAACATGGTTACTAGTTCAAAAATTTGATTAACTCTTTTCTACAAAGTTTTATCTAAAGAAAAAATGACTACTTTTGATATGCCCTAGGTATTACAAAAAATTATGAAATTCACTTGATTCATTTTTTGGTAGTATATAACGTATTTAAACTAAACTTGAAGAAAGTCATGGTCAAGAAGAACATATTCTTAAATTCCTGTGAAAATTTTTCTTCTTTAAAAATCATCGCTTATTAAATAGACAATCATAATTCATTTGATTTCATGTAATTTACCCTATACAGATAACAAATATTTATTTGTTTTTTTGTTTTTTTTTGAATAAAATTTTAACATTAATAAATTGTATAATTGAAGAAAAAACGAAAAACAAGATTTTTCAAATCGTATTACATTTATTTCCATATATATAAATACCAATTATCCATTCTCCATTTAACTTTAACCCATTGTGAAGACAAAAGTATTGGTTCAAGATCTTGTTTTATTTGATCTGACAATGTTTGACATATACAAATTTTAATTGATATTAAATTATTCTTATATTTAGGTGATAATAAAAAATTAAGAATTTGTCGACATTCATTACTTGTTGTTACATTCATTTGTAAATG